GACACGATTCTGTAGCTGACTCCTCAGGAGGAGACGGTCCTGGAGCTTGCTGGACACTCTGGGATGTCCTGAAAACTTCTTCACTGCAGCCAAACCTCTCTCCTTGAAGTTCTTGATGATCCGGTAAATGGTTCTTTCAGATGCAATCTCTTTTGCAGCAATTTCCTTGCGTGAGGCCATTTTGATGCAAAGCGATGATGGCTGCACGTGTTTCTTTGGAGGTAACCATTGATAACAAGAACACAATGATTGGAAGCGCTTCTTCCCACCATCAGTCTGCTCTTACAATCTAATTAGTATGATAGTGATTAACCTGACTAGTATTCATTCACACTTTCACATGTGCTGCTGATATGATTAGTCAATTAATGTTAGCTGGTCAGGATCAAAAAACAGTGAAATTTGTTTTGTTTTTGTTTTTTTGTGAAAAGTTCATTTTTTGGCCAATGAAGCTTTTAGCAATTATTTAAAATGGATCTGATCACTCTACACAATAATCTAAAAACAATGTGAATGAACATCACAACAGCTTAAGCAGCAAACTTTGCAAAACACAAAATTTATGTCACTGCCAAAACTTTTGGCCATGAGTGTAGAGCTTAGTATGTAATATTGACCCTATTGTGCCTTTTCAAATATTACCTTTCATGCAGTGTGTCATGTAGCTGTATGTGAACATAAACTATCTGCAAAGTTGTGAAGCCGACAGTGCGCGATAAATAAAGTTATTGTCTATCAAAAAAAAGAGTCGGCTCGCAAACGCCTAAACAAGTCGTCAGGAATTCGAATCTTATTCTGTTACGGCTCTACGTCGCAAAGTAACACATTTGCATAATGTCCGCCCACGTTCTACGTCGCCAGCTTGCCTGCCCACAAACAGTAAAATTTCCGTGTGGTTAACATCATGTTGAGAAGACGCTGTATCCTATGCTGTGAGAGTAAATTTGTTTTCTCACATCTTATAATTACCACAAACTTGTTAACACTTGACACTTACCACTGAGAAGCGTCCTGCTCCAGTCGTGCTTGCGAATCAGTCTCTTGCCGATCAGCCAGTTCAACCGTTTCATCATCAGACTCCGGCTCGAATTGGTAAGGTACAATCGATACCATCTTTTCTATGTATTGACAAGTCTCCAGGGCTGTCATTCTGTCGAGACTGATTCTTTGAACTGCTTCGTACGAGTCGTTTACGAATCATTTAGAAATGAGTTAAAATTAAATCTATTTTTTAAGAAAACTAACGTGTTTTCTGACCTTGCATGCATTTAAACCTGTTTTAGGAGACTCATAAAACAATATTAGCAACCTTAAAGATGGCATAATAGGGGCACTTTTAAGAGTTTTTTCTCCTCCCACTCCTCATCAGACTCGATGCTCACTCGGGTTGCCAGATTGAGGACATGCAACAGGAACGTGTGCAACTGACCCTTCGCAAAGACCCGCTCCCCCCTTCATTACTGTTGCTATGTCCGACAAGCCATGGCACTCTCACACTGCACATCACGTTCTCACGCAGTGAAAAATACATCGCAGAGCAAACATCAAACAGACAACGCATCGGCAGACGAGACAGAGCAGGTTACTTTTGGTATGAAAAGGTCTCAGCTTTCAAATGTGGTCTTTTTTAGGAAATTCAAACAATAAAAACGGTTTTGTGGCTCTTAATAGAAATTATATTAAGAACATGTGAAAATAAATCTGTTCTCAGATACCAAAGATAACAAGAACTCGGCATCCACTCTCTCCTCTCTCGGGATACTCTTCTTCGGTGTTTGTTTACACTGGTTTTCGAAACAGCGCCACCACTCTCGTCCTTTTGTGCAACAGCAGCTGCTCCGGGCACGTGATCTAAGCTCAAATCTGATTGGATGGCCCGTTTCATCGCAGAGCAATGGGGAAAAAATCGACACATAGGACGGAAAAAAAAATCCTCACTTTTTCGCACTGCGAATGATCACGCCTGGTGTGAATAGCCCCATTAGGGATCTATTGTTTCGATTCAAAAGCGTCATCGCGCTGAACATTCGCGCCAATTTTCGCGTTCAGTGTGAAAAGGCTTTAAATTGATGAGTTGTTCGTTTGCTGGCGTCCATGACTGCAGTACGCTGTTTTCTGCCAACTGGCAACCAGGGGTATAGAAAAACTATTGTGTAAACTGGCAGTATGCGGAGTCACAGACCAAAACAAAAACAGACATTCCGACACAGAAAGCACATTTCAAAGCAGAATAACTGACTGTAGCATTGTTTTTTGGATAAGTATGTGAACTCAACATGCTTCCTAAATATCTGCTAACATAATATGTTATTATTATGCTTTAATAAATGACATACATCACCTTTAATCATATTAAGTTTTCACTACAAACCATGTGTGTGTTATTTGAGTTTTCAAGTTGAAAGTAAAGTTGTGGAGTTGTAGAGCTGTAAAATCTTGTGTTAATTAGCAGAACTACTGTTCTAGGTGGATCAACCTCCAGTTATGTGTTATGATCATTCCTGTGACTTGAGTGATGGTATCTTGGCATACCTTGCAAATTTACTTGGTTTACAAACTTTGCATGGTCATGACAGGAATTGAAAGATTGGATATAACTTTGCACAGATAAGTTCAGTAAGCAGTCTTATATTAATAACATTAACAAGTCTTTTTTAAACATTTATAGCAATGCAATGCCATGCTCCATTGATTACCATAGTAAGTGCCTTGCTGTAAATTAGATTTTTGTACACTACTATTCAAAAAATTTACATTTTTAAATTTTAAATAAATAATACTTTTGTAGTTTTAATCAGAAGATTTCAGTACAGCTGAAACTAGAAGAAGTCTTTTAAATGTCTGATATCACTTAAGGAAAGTTTTTCTGTCCTGTTTCTGCCTTCTTCATTTCTCTGTCCAATATCTGGAATTGCAAAATCAGAATTGAGAAATATTCAGTAAAAAAAAAAAACATTTGAGTAAACATATTTCAGTTTTCTCTTTTCTTCAGGGAGAAGCGTGTAGTCGTGACAGAATTTGTGTATACAATATTGTGCAATTGGGAATTGCGTGAAAAAACGTGTGTTACAGCGTGTGTAGCACTGTGAAAGGATAAGTCCGAGTGGATCTATAACAGAACCCCCCCTCATCCACACACACACACACACACACATCCTTGGCCTCTCCCAAAGCAAGGTGAATGAGCAGAAAGGCTAATGGCTTCCTGACATTGAAACCACATTCACATTCTGGAGTGATTCCACACTACAAAAAAACAAAAAAGAAACAAAAGAAGAGACAACAAAAGAGAGAGAGCAAAAACATGCCATCATTTTCTGAGGTGCGAGGGTGACAAGACTCATTGGGCCAGGGCCACACTGATGTGCTTATTAGATCTCTTCAATTATTGAAGGCAGAAATCTGCAAATTCACTGAAGAGTCAAGCCACTTTTGTGCACAAAAACTAACCAGTCGAACTGCTTTCTCATATGCCATGACTTGACACCCCTACCTTTCTTTTTCGGGGGATGGGGTCTTCAAACAGGAAGTGTGTACTCTCGGTTTCCTCAATGTTGTCATCACTCTGGGTGGAAAGCAGGAAGCTCTTGCCGGCATCGTTGGAGAGGGGCGGGGACGGCGTGGAGGGCACCGATTGGTCGCTGGCATCCCAGCTCCAGTTCCCACTGGTAGAGCTGCTGTAGCTGGCAGACAGGCTCTCTTTCCAGCCCTTACCAGCCAAATCTGCACCTGAACACAGAACACAGCGTTTTAAAGCAGGAAAAGACCTTTGACACTATTGCCTGGAGTATGTATTATTACCTATCCCAGAACCCAGCACACTGCATGAATTCACAGATTAAAAATCAAATCCATGGATTAAAAAATAAAACAAAAGACATAACAAAACAGAACAAAAAACAGATAAAAAAAAAACAAAAGACAACAAAAAACAAGGGAAAAAAGAACAAAACAAAACAAAAGACAACAAAACAAAAATAAAAACAAAAGAAAATGAAAGACAACACAACAAAAACAGAGCAAAACAAAAGACATAAAACAAAACAAAAAAAACAAAAACAGAACAAAACAAAAGACAGCAAAACAAAACAAATCAAAACCAAAATAAAACAAAAACAAGACGTACAAAAAAAAAAAAAAAAACCAGAACAAAACAAAAGGCATAAAATGAAACAAAGAAAAAAGCAAAAAATCAAAACCATAAAAAACAACCACCTAAAATAAATAAATAAATAAAACAGGCATATTCAAAACAATGGCCGATTAATAATTATACTGAAGTTCCAGGGGCTGGTATCTTACCAAACCCAAAATATCAGTACATATCAATACATCCATTTACTACTATGACTGATCAATTTTGGTGTGTCCCAATTTTTGCACAGGTGAGGCCAACTTCAGTCCTGGAGAGCCACAGTCCTGCAGAGTTTTGCTCCAACTTTGATAAAACGCACCTGCCTATAGCTTTCTAGTAACCCTTAGACCTTGATTAGCTTGTTCAGGTGTGTTTGACTAGGGTTGGGGGGATTTAAAAACTGCATGTTGTGTTTACTTGTGTTATCTTTGACTAATATTTAAATTTGTTTGATGATCTGAAACATTAAAGTGTGACAAACATGCAAAAAAATAAGAAATCAGGAAGGGGGCCAACACTTTTTCACACCACTGTATGTTGGCCACCCCGCTCTGTTCTAAACCAATTTTCAGTATAAATAGTGTGATTAGTGTTCTCACTGAAAATTCCAAATTGCACTTCAAATACCCAGATGATGCACTTCACTGAAAAACGAAGTGTGGAATGTTGGACACTTGCACTCAACTGTCACAGCTTTAATACATAGGCTATTGGAGGATAAGGGGCCATCAGACTCTGATGGTGAATGACAAAATAACCTCATAAAATTCATACACCAGACAGTTGAGTGCATAGAATAAGTGCATAGTGCATAGTGTATAGTGCGTCATTTGGAACACAACCTTTGTTATTTGGAGCTAGGTCAATTTCTGTGAAAGTGTGCATGCTAAAAGAATTCATTCTGAATCAGACATCCATTCTTTCACAGAATGCAGGAAATTTGGCATTAGACTCAGAGTGAAAATCATTGATTTGTTTGTGCATATTTTACACTTGTTTATTACACGGCTCTCTGAAATACTTTATTCTGATTGGTCAGTCACAACATTCCAAGTTGTGTTATCCCCAATAACATCCGTCGTAATTAGCAATGCCGAATAACACACCACTTATCTGGCTTCTCTCACATCTTTCCTATCACACCACCGCACTCTCTCTCAGTTCATTCAAACACAGCTGCCATCTTGCACCTCAGTCATTGACTGTATTTACTGTAAAATAAAACCGTCGTCTAGACTCAATGCTGTTTGTTAGGAACTGTTTTTCTTTGTGGAAGCGTTGCGTTTAAAAGCTAATAAAGTATTTCAACTCAAATCAATACTGGTGTCTAATTATTTACTTATGTGGCAAGTCGCCCTGGAATAAGCAGGATAATAAACATTCAGCTGGTTGTTATCGCAGGATAAAGGGGTTTATTCTGCGTCTGCGATAACATCCACCTGGCTGAACATTACTCCTTACATACGGTTTAGTCAGATTGGAGTTGGTGTGAACTCACACAAATATCCCTGATGGCACGCAACACTGGGTGAAGATAAAATAACACAGCAGCACTCAAACCTGTAAAGCCATTGTATTATTTCATTAATGCGAAACAGTTTCACACCTTGTTTTGTTGCTTGTGGCATTTTTAGTCAAATAAATGTTTTATAAATTGCAACACATGACCTAGTGTGCACTCTAATAGAAGCAGAAAGTAACAACTTCTGTAACTGCTTCAGTAAATGTGTTTATATGAGATTCATTTGTCAATAGATCTATAAAAAACTTAATAGTTTAAATCAACACAAGTTGACTGTTTACAAGCATTCAAATTAACAAAGAAAAAAGAAAAGAAATAAAAACTGTGCTAAATGATTCACATCACTACAAATCATGGTAACACTTTACAGTAAGATTCACTTTTGCTCTATCATAAACTAACGATAACTAACATTTTACACAGCACCTATTAATCTAGATTAAAGTTAATTTATAAATACACTACAGTTCATTATTTTATGTTGTTCATAAAACATACATTAATGTTAACCACTTAATGTTAAAAATTTATTAGTAAATGTAGAAATTAACATAAATGATTGACTGATGTTAAAAAAAAGAACCATATTGTAAAATGTTGCCAAAATCTCAATATTCAAGAAAAACCTAAATGTTAGTGAAGGACTGACATTTCAGCTACCAAAAATATTTGCCTTTTTTATTTATTTATTTTTGATTACAGCCACTGTTTATAATTATATAATTAAAAAATCAATCTAAAAACAACCTTATGTGCAATTTAAATGCTTATTGATTGATTGATTGATTGATTAATTGATTGATTGACTGATTGATAGTTTAATTCATTATTATTATTATTATTATTATTATTTGTATTAATATATATTTTTTTTAGTTTTGCTTTTGGCTAAATGAAAACTCTATTTTCAGTTTCAAAAATAATTTTGGTGCATTATGCTCAATACCATATCAGCGCCAAACAATAAAGGTTGTAAACACAAATCTGCAGATATACCATACAGCTATGTAAAGATGAGCTATGCAACAGAATAGGACACACTGTCCAGCTGATGTTAAGCAATAATAACCTTGAACAAACTAACTTAACGAAATCTCTAGGCTTAAAGATACCCTTGAGCAACAGCATAAACTGTGCTGACATTGCATGATCCCAAACAGGCAAATCACCCCCAATTCATGGCACTTGACCTCTTAGGATTATGGTCTGGGTTCTTCCAGCATGTCTGCTCTTGCCATTTAGCAGATGTTTTTTATTCAAAGCGACTTACAGTACACTAATTACAGGAACACACTCCCTGGAGTGGCATGATTTAGAGGTTAAGTGCTCGGCTCAAGGGCACAATAGCATCAGAAACGAATTGTAATCTAAGTAGCCCTACAGTTTCTGCCTCAATCCTACATGAGGATTGTCACACCAGTTTGATTTTCAGTCATCAGTGTTTTATTGTGGTTAAATCCATTTCAGATAAACCCAGACTGTGGTTGGTCACTTTACAAGACCGTATCTTCCTCTCAAAGTTGGCGGTTCTTGGCAGGAATAAGCTGCAATGAAGACCAGACCTCATGCCGTTAGTCATTAGACGAACAAAACTACTGAAATACCAGCAGCCCATATTAATTCTTTCTTTATCTGTTTTCTAGTGGGGAGGAAAGGGACAGTTCTCTGTTATTTGTGCAGCCACGCTGATACAGTACAATAAGTCTTTAATTTCCCAGAAGGGCAATGTGTTTGCATTAAAGATATTAAAAAATGACAATGCACAAATAAAAAACACATAAAATCCAATCCCAAGGCCAATGTCCTTGATTAAATAGTAATGGAGAGTAAGGAAAGCTGTGGCACTTGTTACTTAAATTGTCCTCTAGGCAAGAGTAATGAGATATAATATTATTTCAGGATGTCTGCTATCAACTGAAAACATCTATACCGAAGGGACATTGAAAAATGACTTACACAAATGTGAACATGAGAAAAACTATTTACTAATGCGCTATGTCATTTCAAAGATTTATCTCGCTGCACATTCACTTTTCTGTAACCCATCCAGGAAAGGGTTTAATATTCAGAATATATACATGTAAATAACCTGTTTTTCTATCATTTTCTAACAGTATTTGCAGTAGTATTAATTTCCAGTTGACCATGCCATGCAGAAAAATAGTTTTTCGGCATTTTTATTAAATGTATACGAGGTATATGAGGTGCCTTTTTAGGTATATGGCCAATTGACAAATATTATTTAAATTACCATTCAAAAGTTTGGGGTCTTGAAGTTGTTTCTGCTCACCCGAGACTGCATTTATTTAATCAGAAATACAATAAAAACAGAAATATTGCAAAATATTATTCAAATGTTAAATAACTGTTTTCTATTTCAATATATATTTACATTTACATTTAGCAGACGCTTTTATCCAAAGCGACTTACAAATGAATATATATTCAAAATTTGAATATATTCAAATGTAATTTATTCCTGTGATGCAAAGCTGAATTTTCAGCATCATTACTCCAGTCTTCAGTGTCACATGATCCTTCAGAAATCATTCTGATATGCTAATATGCTGCTCAAGAGACATTTCTTATTATTATCAATATTGAAAACAGTTGTGCTGATTAATATTTTTGTGGAAGCCGTGATACATTTTTTTCAGAATTCTTTGATAAGTAGAAAGTTCAGACAGCATTTATTTAAAATAGGAATATTGTGAAACATTCTAAATGTCTTTGCGTTATGTCATTTCAAAGATTTATCTCGCTGCACATTCACTTTTCTGTAACCCATCCAGGAAAGGGTTTAATATTCAGAATATATACATGTAAATAACCTGTTTTTCTATCATTTTCTAACAGTATTTGCAGTAGTATTAATTTCCAGTTGACCATGCCATGCAGAAAAATAGTTTTTCGGCATTTTTATTAAATGTATACGAGGTATATGAGGTGCCTTTTTAGGTATATGGCCAATTGACAAATATTATTTAAATTACCATTCAAAAGTTTGGGGTCTTGAAGTTGTTTCTGCTCACCCGAGACTGCATTTATTTAATCAGAAATACAATAAAAACAGAAATATTGCGAAATATTATTCAAATTTTAAATAACTGTTTTCTATTTCAATATATATTTACATTTACATTTAGTCATTTAGCAGACGCTTTTATCCACCGAGACTGCATTTATTTAATCAGAAATACAATAAAAACAGAAATATTGCGAAATATTATTCAAATTTTAAATAACTGTTTTCTATTTCAATATATATTTACATTTACATTTAGCAGACGCTTTTATCCAAAGCGACTTACAAATGAATATATATTCAAAATTTGAATATATTCAAATGTAATTTATTCCTGTGATGCAAAGCTGAATTTTCAGCATCATTACTCCAGTCTTCAGTGTCACATGATCCTTCAGAAATCATTCTGATATGCTGATATGCTGCTCAAGAGACATTTCTTATTATTATCAATATTGAAAACAGTTGTGCTGATTAATATTTTTGTGGAAGCCGTGATACATTTTTTTCAGAATTCTTTGATAAGTAGAAAGTTCAGACAGCATTTATTTAAAATAGGAATATTGTGAAACATTCTAAATGTCTTTGCGTTGACTTTTGATCTCTTTAATGTGTCCTTTCTGAATAAAAGTATTAATTTCATTCAAAAATATCAAATTAAATCCTATTGACTCCAAAACTTATTTGAACAAAGTTATACAGCGTACTCAATGACACTCCAATATCCCTTATATATAATAATAATAATTATAATAATGACTAAATTATCCATCATCCAAAATTCATCACTGATACAAATTTGGCCAACTAAAATAGCACAATAAACCAAAATAATCAAAGAAGGTCGGAGGATTTGAGTGACTCAATAACTGAAGGAACAAACGAGAGGGAAATCCTCCATGGAAAGTGTTCAGAGGATCCATTAAAACAGCCTGTTCCTTCCAAGACACAAATGTAAGGGACTGTGGAGGGACAGCCATTGTTTTGTGACAGCTTAAGAAAACTCTCACTTTTCATTTTGTTCCAGAATCTCTGAAACGTCAGAACAAACCCAATACAAGTACGCTTTCACCACAGTTCAGTTAACATTAAAAATCCTGCTCTTTAAAAAGAACAATCTTTGGTTACACGTCTTAAAGGAATAGTTCTGTTCAATGAATCTGATTTGATTCTCGAGTTTGACTCACTGGCTCTTTAGTACACATTTATTGTAATTGCATGGAAAATAGCAACCACTACATTTCTCAAAATATCTTCTTTGGGCTTAGAAATGACATGAGGGTGAGTCAGTAATAACAGAATCGGTTTCATTTTTGGGTAAGCTATTCATTTAAGGGCAAAATCTGTGTTTGATTCAAAGTCTAATAAAACATCAATGAGAGAGTTCAAGAACTTCTGCTGCTGCACAATGTCTATTGTCTTTTCTTCTGAAACTCTGTGAACATACTTTTGGTTTTGGAAGCCGTGAGCTGAAGGAAGGACAGTCACTGCAATTACAAACCCATAGTCTGGTTTTCCTCTCATCATGCTAAAGGGGACATAAAAATGGAAAACAGAATTTTTCTTCCTCTTTTGAAATAAGAGTCTGATGACCATGTGCTGATATTTATACAAAACTACACTGTATGTCTACACAGACAATTTTGTGAAACTAATCTGCAAAAACTGTTCAGAAATCATGGTGACTATGACATCACAACCATGAGCTCATTAAAATATGACCACTGGTATGCTGAGATTAGCCAATCATAACAGAGGTCATTTACATCTAGAAGTCTTAAAGGTACAGTACAAAAAACAGCCCGTTTAATTGTACAGGGTAAAGTATAAAAAAAATAAAAATGAAAAGAAAAGAAAAATGAAAAGAAAAAAAAAATGTATTTGGTGCAAGAAACCTTGACTAACTTTATAAGTGATACAATTCAAATTTTGAATTTTTTAAATATATGTATTACTTTTTAAAAATAACTGTTTTCTATTCCAATATATTTTAAAATGTAATTTATTTCTGTGATGCAAAGCTGAATTTTCAGCATCATTACGCCAGTCTTCAGCGTCACATGATCCTTCAGAAATTTTTCTAATATGATGATTTAACATTTTTTATTATCAATGATGAAAACAGTTGTTCTGGTTAATATTTTTGTGGAAACCGTGATTTTTTAATTTTTTCAGGATTCTATGATGCTTAAAAAATTCAAAAGAACAGCATTTATTTGAAATAGAAATCTCTTGTAACATTTTAAATGTCTTTACTGTCACTTTTGATCAATTTAATGCATCCTTGCTGAATAAAAGTACAAATTAAATACAAATTCAGTCATTAAAAACATTAGGCTGCTTTTAGCCTTCCGCTGGAGTTGGTTCACTTTCCGGCAATGAAACTAAGTAAATAATTACATAAATTAGCACGATAATATCGTGTATCGGCGATCTCACAGGCTGACGATAGGACAATATGAATATTGAGCATATCGCCCAACTCTATTATAATATAACATAATTAACATAATTAATAATAACTGGCTCAACCAATGGCGTGAGTTTGGGGCGGGACTATCTGTTTGAATCAGAACGCACTGTGTTCGAAAACAACCAAATATTTGCAACTCTGTTTGGCGGCACACAAATTACACACTTCATTAATGCCAAAATGGAGAAAGCAGGAGTCCTTTTGAGCACTTATGAAGGTTTAGAGCCTGTTTGACAAGCCATCATTCAACCTGAGCGCTCTGGGATCTATCAGGTAACAGGGAAGCGAGAAGTAGAGCGATGTTTAACCTGAGGCACTGGAGGAAGGGTTGAGCACCAACGGGCTGGTGGACAGTATGGTCAGGACGGTGGCGGCCATCACTTCTTTATCAGCAAGACCAGAAGGCCTCCTGTTAAAAAAGAGAGAGCGAGAAATGAGGTTTACCAATCACTGACATCTCAAGACCTGGATCAACTAAAACCAATTACGTCAAGCAGAGCCAGATGTTAAGCGCACTCTCACATCAACATAAAACGGCACACATCTGTTAGGTGGGCCGCCCAACCTTTCTCTCTCTCTCTCTCTCTCTCGGCCTGAGTGCCCGTTTTCTCTGTTTGGCAGGCCGAGTTCCACTTCTCTCGGCCGTATCGCAGCTCCCTACAGCGCAGTAAAAAACACTAGCGCTTGGCCTCTGGTGTATGCCCACACAGCACAGCTCCATTATCAACTGTATTTATTCAGCGTGTGTGTGGGAGACAGTTCACTCGTGTTTGTAAATCAACACCAGGGTTTAGTGCGCGGCTGAATGAAACGCTCTGTTAACTGTTTAGGGTCTTGCTCACAGGTGAGATTCAGCTTCGAGCTGTGTATGTATACTGCGTGCACATGATTGATGGCTGTTATATTGGATTGCAGTGAAAGAGAGGGAAACCGGAGGGATTGTGGGAGATCAGAGAGAGAGGAGAGCGAGTGAGTGTGTTAACAGACATTACATTGAAATATTTATGCAAATTAGAAATGTTTAAATAAGATTACTGTACAAGATGGGACTGATGCGAATGCGATCAGTGGCATGTTGATTCAACAAACACAACTACACAATAATATCAAACAAATGTTATGTTATTATAAATTCATCTCTTGTCAAATGGAGATGACTTTGCTTCTAGTCTAGTTCTACGGACCAAAAAAAAAACAACCCTGAATTTTTTGTAATTTCAATGTATTTATTTGTACATTTGCATATAATTAAAATGTGTCATGACAGGTTTGATGTCAACTGCGATCAGTATGGAGCCATGTTGTTAATTAAAATGAAAACAAACTAAAACTATTAAAATATTTTGTTAATTATAATTATTTGCTTTGGCACATAAACTGAAATAAGCTGGAGTACTACAATTAAATGAAACCAAAATATATATAAAATCAATTTGTAAAAAAAAAATTACAACACATAACAAAACCACTAAAATGTGTATATATAAGCTCATAAAAAACAAACAAACAAACAAAAAAAAACAATAGTATACAAATAATACTATAATAATGATGGCCATATCTGATTATCAGTGAATAATTAATACAATTTTGGTCTGTTTATAACACAAAGTTTTTGTATGAGTATCTCAAAAGCCATATGGACTACTTTTATGTCTTTAAAAAATTACGAATTTGTTTTTTAATTACATTTGACAACCCTCGTGCCCATTAATTTCTACTGTATGGAAAAGTGGAGCCTGAACGTTCTGCTAAACCTCTTTTTTTTGTTCAACAGAAAAACTATCAAATGGTTTTGGAATGACATGAGAGTGAAAGAAGGAAATTTTTGGTGGTGAACTACTCCTTAAAAGTCAACTACCTATTTCAACATTCGTAATTATGTCATTTTTGAGCCACGCTAGAGAATTCGGTGAGAATCAGATTCTTCAGATCTTCTCCACCCTGAACACAGCAGCACTGATCTAAGCACAGAAACCGACACAATGCTAAGCTGTCTCTGTGTTATATAATCAAAAAAATCCCACTCACACTCCCTCATAATTTCATGAAATATGCTCCCTCTGCCCAACACACACACACACATGCTGGGTTTCTGCCTGCCCCCCCGCCTGCTTTGGCAACCCAACCAGAGCAAACTGGTTTAGAGTCGCTCTGAAAGCCAAGCCCAGAGACTTGGCAGGGCTGTCAAACTTTTTTCCTTTATCTGGGTCAACTTCCAAATATCTTTCTATTGCTGCAAAAGAAAAGAAAAGCAAGTAGTGGATTAGAAGCAGACAGACTAAGGAACATAAATAAAATATGAAGTTCTGCCTCATTTTTAGAGGAGAGGAGAGGAGAGGAGAGACTGTCTGCTTCTAGAGGCAAAGAAAATAACACACATTACAGATGACGGTACTATGCTGGTTTTTATTAAAGACTGTGTGTGTGTGTGTGTGTGTGGAGCATACATTCAGAATGAATATGTAGGTGTATGTTTGCATTTCTCTGTTTCCGACAGTCTTGATCAAAACACACTGGAGGTGGATTATGCTGGTATTTTTGGTATTGCATAAAAATATATATGTAGCAAATTATATTTAAAAGCAACACCCACATGCGTGCACACACCCACATGCACACACACTCACACACACACTCACACACTCACACACACACACACACACACACACACACACACACACACAC